GGTTTCTGCTTCGTGACGTTGAAGCCGCAGAAGTTGACAGGTATGGTTGGTTACCTACTCTGGATTCAGGTGAATTTGCACCGGCGAAATTAATCCCGGTTCTTGCTTAACTTCGGCTGAAAAACAGGTGCGGTTGGCCGATTTGGAGAATCACTTTGGAAAACTTGACTCCTGCATTCTCTTCAAACAGTCGGTCTTTTAGTGCGCCCTAGTCATAACCGATAATGAATTGATGGACCAATGCTTTTCAATCTCCGAAGAACCCTCCAACTGACAAACGACTACTAAACTGCGTAACCGTGCTGCCCAGTCTTTCGGACTTTCATTCGCCATTTTTCTAGATTCAAAGAATTTTTCTCGGTTAAAAAACACTGATTGTATTGGTTTGAAATGGTCATCCATTATTATTAAGGAAATTATATCCCCATATTTAACTGTTTTCGGTTCATTTGGTATACACATATCACTCACTAATTTATACGCAGGTTCATTCAATAAACTCAACAGTATTGCTCGTTTTCTACTTTCATCGTCAATGCTGTTTGCCGTGGAATAATTGCCAATACGTTTTTTATACACTGACCAGTCCGAACACATAGAATCAAATTCCTGGATATGACCGGCTAATTGTTTTACTGATGCTATTTTTATTTCTACAAAAGCTCAGCAATATGGAAATATTAACTGAAGTTAACTACTTGACACGTGAAATTAACTCGTCGCCACTAGTAATGTATTCCTCCCTAATCTGAGGGTTATGTCATTACTCCAAATTATACACAATTGTTTCTGCTTTTTCCAACTACAGTATATAAAACAATCCGTTGCTTTTCGAGCTTCCTGTACATAAAAAACATCAGTATATAAAAACTCAAACTATTTATTCTTGACTTACAGGATGATTCACATTAATATCCTACAGGCAGTAATAATGATATAATCACTTTCGAAACTTGGGACTGACCTGTTTCTTTTGATGATTTCTAACTAGAAAAACGGGTTCAATTTCATCTTGCTAACGTCGTATCGTCACTTTTGGCAACCAATTTGAAAAATATCGATAATCGATTTGGAATAATTCCTGCTAGTCAACTTTTGCAAACAACAATTCTGTGGCAAGTTGAGAAATACATGAGTAGATTGCGGCGGCGAAAGAATGCTTCACCACTACTGCAATTGGTGTTTCTATCAATTATAACAAACCTTCAATACACGTGTGAAGATACATCTCTTGAGAGCCGAAAAATCATATGGGTAGCTGACAATAGTACTTGGCCTGCTAGGGCCAGAGACCTTCCATCACCTTTCGACCCAAGAATGCGTTGCTCCAAGACGAATGAAACAAATAAATTGACAAGTCATCTGTGTAATGTATCGGAGGAACAAAATAAACAATACAATATAGATAAGAAATGTAACAATACCCCTTAATATATACCGATTCAGAATGTAAGATGCCGATGAATCATCAGATATGCAAGTTCCTCGAAAACATAACAGGTAAAGTCAGATTGGAACAGTGGAAAACATGTTTCTGAAATAAATTGTGTTTTCGTTTCAAACTCACTAACGATACTATTTCTACCAGAGTTTCCACCACTGTTTCGGACAACTACCACAACATTATGGTTAAAAACTGATTTACATGCCCAAACAAAACACCAGCATTGTCTGTCACAAACAGTGGTGCAGCTTAAGTGAAACGAACTCATACGGTGACGATCAAAAGTTTCAGGATGCCCAATGGACTATAATTACCTCTATCAACGATAATACTTCAATGTTTTTTTCTGAATGGAAACGGGTATTGTATTAAAAAAATACGCATTCTCTTCTACAATCATTGCATGATAAACTGTTTCAGGTGAAAAGCACAAATAAACTCTAGTTAACGTTAGTTTGTCGATTTTTAGTCATCCTCTCACTCCCGGGATAGCAATATTCGCTTCTAATTGGATATTACCACTTTTTGAAATATGTTTGCAGTCACCTAATTTTCCATATGGAAGTATCAAACTTAGTTGTCTGCTACAGAGGTGAACAAAACTCGGGATCACTTTTTTCTCAGTTCTTTTAAATAGCGCACCCTGTACATATGGCCATCACAGAATAGTCCACATTATGAGTGTTTGGAAAATGTAGGTATCGACTACTTTATTTCCATCGAAAGTGTATATAATTCTTGAGGAAAGTATCAAAAAATCCTTGATTGAATCTATCCAAAGTTTCTCCTCGAACTTCCATTATTGTTTATCGTGAAATAGAGCAGAAAACTGCTTTGAATCAATCTATTTTCCATCTTATTTGGTTGTTTTTTCGCAGTTAGGCAATCCCTTAACAAAATAATAGAAACCCACCTTTTGTTTACTTTCTTGGTTTTCTGAAACATCTCATTCAAAAACTCTGGAATCGTATATTCTGTTTAGGATATCGTACTGCATTTTATTCTACTGGTTGAGAGCAGCTTATGTACTAGGAATGTAGATCATTTCAGTTATATAAAATCATCCTTGGAACATTTGAATGTCGTAGGAATTGTCAACAAATTTGACATTTGATTATTAAGCAGGTGAATTTGTAATTGAAATCTATTTTGTTTCGTCGAAATGAAATTGTCTATGAAGAAATGATAAATATGATCTACATTTTGGGTGAATGTGACAGAAATTATTATTAGCCTTTAGAATGTATGCTGTTCGATATCCTTACTCAAGGTCTATAAGACCAGAGAGTTTTGGGAGAGTAAGATTTGAGGAAACATAGTGTCAAGCAATAGAAAAGGCAAATAAGAAAAGGCAAGTTGTAAACAGAATTGCAACAAATGAAGAATATCAAGTATAGCAAATTGTAAGTGAGAGAGAAGTCGATAACTAAAATATATATTATAGTACTATATTTCTTCGATTGACCTCTAAATGGAGAAATTTATACAGATTTCCTCGGTTGTTATTGGAAGATGTACCGATTGACATAAGGCATAATGGCCATTATGATGGCGTTTCTTCCCACAACCAAAATCGGGTTGGAGGATTTTTGAACAGATTGGAAGGAATGAACACATTCATTGATTTCTATCAATGGGGATACATGTTTAAGGACGGATCTATCGAGAGAAACTAACGACACCAGATTTGGAAAGATTTTCAGTCGAGATAAACTTTAATTGGAGGAAAATTGTGAATAGACTACATTTGTGTATAGCCCAAAATGTAAGATTGTTTGAACATCTATTCTTAATTTTTGGGTTTTGAAATTGCTTCTTTTTCATTTTGTTACTTGTCTTGTCCAACACTGAATAAAAAAACGTAATTGCTCCTATTTAATGAACTTTTCATAGTTTTCTCAAGAGTTAAATACATTTCCGATATAAATAAAGAAGTCAATCCCTACATTTTCTGAAAGTGTAGACTATTCTGGGATGGTCCTCTGTACATATTGTTTAATTTGAAAAAACTGAGTGAAAAGTGATCCTGAGTTTTGTTTACCTCTGTATTGAAAAATCGATGTTTGGAGACGGAATGAAAATGCACTATCCTAAAGAATATTTGTTTGGAAAATTTCCTCATTTTATTTGATCGAGTAGAAAAATCCTACATTTTCGAGAAGCACTCTGTCCAAGAAATTCAATAGATGAAAATATCTGAAGTATTCTATTAAAAAAAAACATAAATGTGCTCTGTCCCACATTTATTGGACATATTGGACACCCTGCATATTGAAACATAACTTTCATTAATCTCTACAACTTTTTCCCGAAACATCGAATAAAATAGCTCATTGTATTCGTTCGAAAATGTCCTTGAAGGACGAAACTGCAATGACGTTTGTTTCAAATACAACAGGTATAAAAACATAGAAAGTTTTATTTCTCATTTTTCATACCATTTTATTATCCCACAAACTCGGTTTCAGAACTTTCATCAATATTCAGACTACCCCACTGGATTCAGCAGTTTTTGATTTATCATTGTTAAATTCATCCAAATTTGTTTGCTTTCCTTTGGGAAAATTATAAATGAAGATAATTTGGAAAATCTGTCGTTTATGACCACCTCATTTTCTATCCTTCAGTTCTGAAATGGACTAAGGTTATGTATCGTACACTCTAGATGTTACGTATTACCACAAAAACATCTATAAACGTCATATCAGGTGATCTAGCTGGCCATTCTTAGAAAACACGTCTGCCAATCTACTTAAATGAGTTTTCAACTCATGTTACGTTTCAGCAAGATGAGGTAACTTCTCAGGATGGTTCGATTGTGGCTGAATACTGAATAGGTGAACTGGCGGATAGGCACTCATTATCTTTTAGAATGACCCGCTGGATGATCACCTGATATTACGCCTTCAGATTTTTTGTGCAGATTCGTGAAATTCAAAGTATAAAATACATAACCGCAGACAATTCATGGATATAGAATGAGAGGTGCTCAACATGAAATTACCCCAGGAATATTTTATGAAGCAAGAATTGAATTTGTAAAACTACATTAACACCAGGATGTGAATAGTGAACCTTTTGAACACTCATTGGGATGAACTAAAGTGTATTTTTTAACGTTTGCTTGCAGATTCTTGAAACGAATATAAAACGGCTTAGGAATTGTTGAATAACGTCAACGGCGATCCAGATTTACTTTAGAAGGTCATAACTGGTGAAGAATCATGAGTATATCATTGAAACCAAAGTTCAATCGTCCCAATGGAAGAGCCCAGGAGAACCAACACCAAAAATAGCAAACCAAGTTCGGTCAAATGTCAAGGTTTTGCTCACTGTTTTTTTCGACCGGCTTTTGCATCACGATAATGCACCTGCTCACTCGAATTAAATGATTGGAACGAGAAAATAACTTTTTAAAAAGAATTTATTTTACAAGCTAGAGACGACTGACTGTCTCTTACGAGAGCTACAAACAGAATGATAATTAATATAATGTTAACTTGATGCTAACTGCATATCGAGATAAGGGATTCCTGGAATATCTCTTACTCAGCTGAATCTCCGTGTGAACGGCCGTGTCGTGGGAACTATGACCACGTAACTCCTCCCTCCTTAAGCCGAAAAAATAATGGAATTATTTTGGCGGCTTGGAACCATATCTTCGTCATTGGTATTTTCTTCTTTTTGGGGTGTTTTGAAGCAACAACATCCAATTTTTCTTAAAAGCTGCCAATATCAGGACAATTATTGTGATAGTAACTCCTGCAAAGACGCCAAAAATGGTAGTGTTATTTTAGGAGTTGTTAAATTTGTGGATTGGTTTCAATCGGTCCACTGTATTGTTGATTTCGTAGAGTTCTTCAAAATTTAGTCTCGAAAAATTTTGTGTTTCATATATTGTTGACTTCTCGATATTTTTCATTTCAATTTTAGGTAAGATCAGTGGCTTGCCTGTTCCTATTTTCACGTTGTTGGTGAAAATCTTGTTTCTCACTTCAATTTGTCAATNTATATCTTCGCCGAAGTCCTTATACAGAGGGTTCGTGAAGGCAAGAAGGAAATATTTGGCACTTACTTGTAAGTTCCAGTTCCTTCTCCGTTGATTCCTTGCAGCTTCCCTGGGGCTCTGTCGTCTCCTTGTCTGCTCGTTCTGGGTGGTCCTCGAAGGATTCTTGTTGAATTTGTGCTTGAGGGGTTGAAACTCCACGACGCAAAAAGTTCGTTTTCACGCTGCACAAATCCTACCGACTGCGCCAATTAAATGATTGGAACGAGAAAATAACTTTTTGAAAATAATTTATTTTACAAACAAGAGACGACTGTCTCTTACGAGAGCTACAAACAGAATGATAATTAATATAATGTTAACTGGATGCTAACTGCATGTCGAGATAAGGGATTCCTGGAATATCTCTTACTCAGCTGAATCTCTTTGTGAATGGCCGTGTCGTGGGAACTATGACCACGTAACTCTCGTCATTGTTTCCTCGTAATTTTTTGGCCAAAAACAACACCGTTAACATGTCTCAGCCACCACGCCGCAGATTTGCCATCTGCGACTTTTTTCTGTTCCTATGATTGAAGAGAACTGTGAAACAATTTCATTTTACGACGATTGAGGAGATATAAACCGAATCGCTGAAAGAGCTCAAGGACATACCAGAAAGTACATTTCAGAACTGCTTCGAGAATTGGAAAAAACGCTGGCACAAGCGCCTTATATCTGAGGGGACCACTTTGAAGGAGACAAAATAGAAATTTATGAATAAATACATATTTTTCGAAAAAAATTAAAATTCATCTAATTTTTTGAACGTACCTCGTATATCAAGTTAGCGAGACACTTTTCAAAATATGCGAAACTAATGTGTTTCACAATTTTCAGCTATTTTGTTTCTATTTACTTGCGGAATAAAATTTTTGTCGCAAATTACATTACTTTACAATGATTATTATTCTCTGAGTATTTATATGAAATTCAACTTCAAACAAGAGTGAGGTATACTTTGAAGCTTTCACTCATGTGTGAAGGCTTTATCAATTTCATATCATTTCCGCTAAACTGCCTCTCTTGCTTTTTCTGGTAACTCATATCTCAACTGGATTGCAAGTGGGTATTCAAAACATGAAAGCAGTTTGTATAAAAAAATACTCCACCCCTGTTAAGCTACCAGAGTCACTTTGAATTTTTTCATTAATTTTTTGCCCATAATTTTAGGCTAATTTTGTATTCCATTTCAGATCGTTTTGCCCTTCATTCTGCTAATTTAACGTTGAGCTGGCCGATCCCAACGACAAATAAATCTAGAATCAGGCTACCTTATAATTTTTGGATTTTATTGCCCCCATCGACGACTTTCTTTCGATGTGTTGGTTTTTTAAAAAAAATTGTGAGTTCTGCCAGCTTTACAGTTGAGCTGGTTCCTCAGGGTGGAAGAAAAATATATTTATAATTTTAGGCTCTTTTTAGGCTCCTTTCAACCCCTAATGCTGACTCCTCATGTGTTGAGGAAATTTTTGGAAATTTTGATCTTGCAATAATTTTTAAGGCTCATCCATAGGATGAACGATATTGAACAACATTTTGTTCTTCGATTGAATTGAATTTTTGGGTGCCTACCTCAGGCACACGTACATGATAAATGCGGAAAAAAAATTTCGAAATTATTCTTCAACTAAGTATGGGTAAAATGGTAATATATTGAGTATTTTATTTTCATTGTAGCCATCCATCTATTTCCATCTATCGCCGACTATTCCAAGTGTTATTTTTAAGTAAAAATTTTTTAGGCGCGCTTGACTGGGAAAGTAAGCTGGTAAATAAGTGACGAGAGCGTGACGAAAAGTGTAATCGGACGAGGCGAACGGAAGTTGAGAGGGAGATATAAAGAGAGAGAAAGAGTTACGTTTCGAATATTACTGTAAGGTAAGGAGAGATGTGCGAGCACACATTCACGGTCGAGTAGGCTTTGAAGAATTAGGAGAAAATTATCATACGTTGCCACTGATTTTAGTAGGAGATTTCAATGTTAATTTTCTGTCCGAAGATGAACAACTCTTGTCAAACTTTCTACAAAATTAATCAGAACTTCAAATGAATAATAACCGAAATGAGCCTACCACAAGACATGGAACAAGAATCGATGCAGTTTTCTGCAATTTTTATTCGAAAACATATGTATCTTATTTCTCAGACCATAAGCCGATTGTCTCGGTCTTAGAGTCAACCACAGTAACAACTAACGTATTCGATAATGAAAATAATGAACAATAATAAAAAATCTATTCAAAAATACTAATTTATCAATGAAAATCTACGATAAATTCAAATATTTGTAGAAAATTCCGTGTTAGGAATTACACATGAAAAGGTAAGACCTCGTTAATACTTAATTCGCACAAGTTTCGACTTCTGAGGGTTGTCGTTCGTAGGAGTTCGACAGCTGGTTAACGGAAAAACAGATTTTAAACAGACAGAACAGAAATTAATATATGTATATGTTCAGCTAGCAGTGAAGCTAACTGAACCCTCTGAATCTGAATAGGACGCTTAAACTATCATTTCCTTATCTACTGTGTGCGTCTGAATTACTCACCCAAATATTCAATTCAATAGCGCGATGAGGGAGCTGAGAATGAGCCTAAAATTATTAAAAGTTCAAAATATCCAAAATGTGAGTATTTCGATTTGGTTTTGCCGGCTCAACGGTAAAGGTAGAATAATCCACTATTTTATTTTGAAAATAACACATTGAATGTCCGCTATAGGGAGTCATAGAAGCCTAAAATGAGCATACAATTCACAATACACTTCAAACTCACCGATAGTTGAGAAATGTTTTCGAAAAATTATTTCCGCTCTGATCGCGTGTGTCTGAGGTATTCATTCAATACCCTAGGAATATTAGTCAAATGAGGGCAAGTATCTCGGAATGAGAGACGGTCAGCTATATTGTTTTATGAACCTTTATTTTCACACCCGAAAACTTGTCACGAAACCTACTTATCGTAGGGTGTCCGGGAATACCGATATTTCAAAGTCAAACTTCAAAAAATCGTTGTTTTCACACCTTGCAAATATCTCGTTTCCTATTGGTTTCATGCTATTTGTATGTGCTATGAACACTGTGGAGAATTAAATTCTCTTCAGCTTTTGAATGATTGTTTTTCTGTCGTGAACCATTTTCGAGATAGAAGGCAGAGCGCGCGCAATGTTCAACTATTCAGAGTACCATTCGAGTTCAAGCTGTAGTCTCGATTAAACATTTTGGACCTATGTCCAAAATCCAGACATCACCAGAATATGACAAATGAGTCTTTGCCGGTACGTCGTGAATTTGATCCCTATGAGGATCAAAAACACACAACAGATGTCTATTTGTAGGTCATTCGAGTGTTTTCACCTATCCCCTCTTTCCTCTCTCAAATTCACGGGTTGAGCCGGAGATAATAGTTTGGCAGGAGTTTTCCGCTTGATTATGGGTATCTATATGTTGCGTATCTCCACGCTAGCTTGACTGAATACGTTATATATGCGGCTTCTTTGGATTTCCTCCCAAACCAATGTTCCTTCCTGTGGATGATCTCAGCTTGGGACCATTTCATATTATGTCCAAACATTCTCTGCTACTCCCGATTGGCTGGTTTCTCCTCGCTGTGTTTGTTTCTTGTGCTCAACAATGCAGACTTCTGATGGCTTCTTAGTTTCACCGATATAGGATTTGCTGCACTCACAAGGTATCCGGTAAATGTAATTCTTGGAATCGCAGTCCGCGTTTGGTGGCCTGGTTTTCTTGAGGCTGCTACTGAAGCAGGTTCTTATGTTGTACTTGGACCCAATTCTTCTTATCCTTTCCGATAATCCTCTGATGTAGGGAAGTGCAAGCACTGATTGTGACGGCTTCTCTTCCTTGCGAGGCTCTTTGGCGGCTTCTCTTCCTTGCGAGGCTCTTGCTGTCTCTAAGCCAAAGTTTCACTATCACTTTGGAGTGATAATTTCTTTTCGAGACCTTCCTTCGTGTTAGAGAGCCTGAAAGCACGCTCTACTAGAGTCTTGATGATTCTCCTTTTAGTCAATTGATGGTCATCGATACGTTTACGAATTGCATTTCGTTGTGGACTTTCTTCTCCATTGTGCAAATGATGAAAGGTCTTACGCTATTGATATGTTTCAGGAAGATGTCTAGTTTTGTATTCCCATGGTTCCATATTATGAAGGTGTCATCAACGTATCTCAGCCAGACTCGGGGCTCCTTGTGGGCTTCTTAAATGGCCAGAGTTTCAAATCACTTCATATATATGTTGGCTATAACTGGTGAAACACTTGACAATGTTTCTACGGATGATCACCCGAAGACGATTGTGGAAACTAACAATAGAAACGTGAAGTAATTTGGTTTGAAACCTTTTTTAACTTTTTAATTTCATTTGTTATTGTTCACTTTTTTAATTTTTTTGCTAATTTTGATTTGAGTATGATTTCATTTCAGGTTTTTATTGCTCAATATAATTGATATTTGTAGCTTATCATTTAAATTTTATTTGTTCTTTCATAAATTTCAAATCACTTTAGAATCATATTAGACAATGGTCCGGAATAAAAAAGTTTACTATGTTATATTGCACTCAAAACACATCAATGTATATTATGCTCCAATCGTCTCCTACATAATATCTAATAATTTAAGCAGATTATTAGTTTCCCAAAAATGATTATTCGACTCATATATCGTTATGTTGTGTAATATTTGCACCTACGTCACATGCAGTTGAGATATTCAGGTTTAGTGGGTATATTTTTCAATAACTATGTCAAGGACAACAACCGTCTGATGGATTGAGAAGTATTAAGTAGAACGTTACAGTATTCTGTAGTCTGCTATTTTCGTTACCAGTTGGTTTACAACTTTATTCTTGAAAAATGTGACATTTTGTTTCGCATAAATCAATTTTTTTCTCATTACGTTGATTTCTAAATATGAATGTACATTATAGATAATGTGATTCTCATCTCGGATATTATTAAAAAAAATGATGTACTGAGAGCCACATTGAATGAATACAATGTTGATCTTTTTTGGAGGTGTAGCTTAAGCCAATTGATCACCTCTACAGAAAAAATGATCATTCATTTCAGTTTTGGCAATCATAAATATAATAATTCCAATATTTTCTGAAGCTGAAGTTTTTCTGGCCAATGAAAATTTCTAGGAATCATATCATAGACTTCCTTTTTGAATTTTCACGTTTAATTTCTTTCCATTTCGTACTTCCAGACATTTTTGGAATGTTTACATCAAAATATTCGTGGCACTTTCTATATTTGGATAAAATTCTTTTCTCGATGCTTCGTCGTTTGCACATTACAATTTCATTACGGCCATTAAATAAACAACAGCTGTAAAATATACACACTTTTTTTACAGCATGGCGCTTTTACAACTACTGGACCAAATTTTAGGGTATTTTGGACCGTCGGAATGGTATGGCGTGATGATTTTTGTGCAAGATTATTGGACATATTATAAGATTGAAACGGAAAAGGTTTCAATACCTATTTTCAGTGATTTCTCTATAGAATAGCCAAGTCACATCTGTTGACAATATTTTATATTGAAAACACAGCGATATACTTTTTGATAATGTTTGAAAAAATCTCAGTAGTGTTTTTTATTCAATGTATTTGTCAATAACAATGAAAAACTATCACTAGCTATGACAGTTTTAACTAGTTATATCTTGAAGTACTCACATTTTCCTTCTGTCGATTTTTTATTCTCTGATGGTTAATTATAATGAAAACTTTTCTTAAAACCGGCCATATACTCGAAAATAAAGGGAACGACCACAAAAGAACACTTGTCATCTGGAAGACTTTCTTCGGAGAGGTGAATTAGAATGTCAACATATTGTCCTCGAAGGTACGACAAATACGAACTACCAACCACGAACCAAGTAACAATGAACTGGCAAGCTGACTATAATCAACTCATCAAGCAGTAAGCAGTGTTGCCAATTTTAATTACCCGAATTACCATCAACTAATGTTCCTAGGTATTTACGTGTTACAAACAGTAATTCAATGTAGATGAAGCTTCCAATGAAATTAAGAAGAAGGAATTTTGTAAAAAAATTATCATTGCATATTTCATTCGAGAGAATAGCTGAATGCAAATCTATCAATTGAATATAAACTCAAGAGTCCATTAAGAGTGCAAATCTTTCCTTTCAACCGCAATCCCAATCCATCAAACATTTTCCCGTTAAATTTTAATTTTTTTTAAATAATATGTTGAACGGTAGGTACTGATTCGATTCTCAATTTCAGAAAGATGTCCATTCACCAGCTTACTCTCCAAGACAATGTTTAACAACTAAAATTTCAGTGCAGAAAAAATCAATAAATTTTGAAGCAGAACCCATGTAGGTATATTCAGTGTATCTATACCTTGAAATATGCTATGATAAGTCGCTGCAACAAAGATCCTCGAAGACGCTTGGGAGCATTATAATCCAGATAGATTCTAAATTCTAGTTGAAGTTCTGTATCATGAACACGTTAAGTTTCTTGAGAATAAAGCTTCAACTACAGTAATGTTTATAATGTTAAAAAATATGTGTTATTTGCAAAGAGAAAATATTGATACTATTTCGAAATCAAATCTGAAATTGGAAACGGAAGGTGAAATAAAACCACATAGAAGCCAGGACGTTTCACATTGGAGTTCCACTTGCAATATCATAAGTGGAGTAGGGCGAAAAGAAACTGAGCTGAAGGTGGACTTACTATCCGTTGAACAAATGAATCTTTATAATGAAGACTTTGGAAATGCCAAAAGATATGAAAACCTTGTTGAATATTGGAAATAATTCCCCATTACTAATCTTTTTGGTATATTTTTTCCGCAAATGTTATGACCACCCAGGGCCTTAAATTTTGGCGAGACTATTCTCAGTATACAGTTAATTTGAATCAAACGGATTAGAACTCAAAAATCCTGTTTAATTTGAAAGGGTTATCTTACTTCCGGTTTCCCTTTATCAGTATCAACTAGGTTGAGGAAATTGGGTAGTCAGTTTAAATTTCTTTTCGCTTCAGATTGTTGTTTCTCTGAACTTCGATTTGAGAATTTTTTCTGTTGTAGGTGCACCCTGTGTTGAACCGCAGTCAGGAAACCGAGTGTTGCAACATAGAAAAACAACGTCCCCATCGACGAAGGGGAGTCATTTCCAACCATCAACTTTTATGAATCTCCTGAGCAGTTTGGTTTCGTGGCTAAACCAGTACGCCCTTCAATCAAATTGTAATAGATACTGAATATAATAATTGTTGCGACACATTTAAGATTCACCGAAGGTATGAAATATACTATCTATCTACTCACCAGACAAGCATAAACATAAAGATCTACAAATTCTATGCCATGTCCATTTTGCAGATGAACATAAACAAAACCGAATGAATAAAGTCGAAATATCAAAATTTTGTCTCAAAAACGTCAGTGTTTTACATAATAAATCCATTTCCATTCTTAAGACTGAAGAAGAAACAGTCTGGAGGAGAAAATACTGAGAAATCGATTTTCTTGAAAACAGTTTTCATATGAACAGCTTTTTTCGAATTTGACAAAGAGGATTCGTTGCGTAGGGACAGACAGCGGAAAGCTACTTTATTTCATACTTCGTAGTGATGAAGAGAAAAAAGAAAAATTGGCAACGCAGCATTTTACAATGATCGTGGCACACTTACATATCAGTTATATTTTGCAACAAAGCTAAGCAGTTGGTCGGAAGTTTTGACTATTGGTAATTGTTAGTCTACGAATTTTGAAAAAAGGGTATGGAATAAAAAAACATTATGAAAATTCAAAGCAAACTGATATCTTATAAATGTGGCAGGTGATGGAAAAGTTAACTTCACTTGTAATTGTGAAATTATCCACAAAGTACACTGACAAAAAATATTGAATTATTTTTTCCTTTAATGTCTTTGTATACCTTTCAATATTTTCAAAAAACGTGCCTATTGATTGGCTTAGTACAACTACAAGATTGAGATATATATTATTCAACTTTTTTAACTAATTCATTGGCATGTTACATTATTTTTTCTATACTATTATATTCCAAATATGTTGAATCTTTTCAGACCATTAAAAAATATTCTCAACACATTCAAACAAACAAAATGTCTTATGAAAGTTCTTCTCTGGAGATCTACCCCAAGACTGCTATCTCAAAAATCTAAACTTATACGTAAAACAATACCAGTGCCATCGCAAACTATCATCATGACGCCTGTTTCATCGGTGTATGTGTGTGTGAGGCCACACCCATTTATTTTGTCAAGCGATAGTTTTATTTTTGCGATATCTTGAATGATATTATTTAGAATTGATTAGTGTGAAGGGCAATAATAATGCGTATGAAATGCTTGAATTGGGGAATGTATTTTTTTGATGATGATTAATAGATAACATCCACCAATTCACTGAAAACATTAATTAGTTATACACATAAACCTTCATATTGAATCACTCTGGACCGGGAGATGGTGAAAGATTTTGGCAAGTCATTTCTTACAGCATGGCGCTTTTACAACTACTGGACCAAATTTTAGGGTATTTTGGACCGTCGGAATGGTATGGCGTGATGATTTTTGTGCAAGATTATTTCCCCCCTAAACGGGCCTAACTGAAGAAATTACTTACCATTATCTTCCACCATCTTTTGGTTTTCTCCGTCCATTGTAGAAAACCGTATGAAAATTCGTTAGTAGTTTTTAAATTTATCGCATTTCGACAGGCAGGTGGGCTGGCAGACAGGCTTTGTTTCACAATATGCAGTAATGTATTATTTTTTTTTCATTTTTCAGTTTTTTTAATACATAAACTTGTTCATCTGTCATTATGTTCTTGCTTGCGTGCTCATGTACTAGAATTCAACATTTATTTTTGATTGGGTATCTATTATATCACTTGGAAATACTCGGCTATCTAATTGTCAAAGTTCAACATGATATCATGACAATTATTTTATCGTTATCAAGTATTCATTACTCTCCACAATGAATGAACTTTTTGTTGTTGCAGTTTTGGCATGAAGACAATTCTTTCTCATGATTTCTGAAAACCATTATTATCTATAACAGTTCGTACCACACGAATACCATTCCTATTTATCATTTTTACCCTCAAAGTGTGCTAGAATTTCTAAATGACTGGATCATGTTTGGTGTATATTACTGGTATTTCAACTAGCCTCAGATCTGACTTTCTGACTGTTGGATTCTGAGTGGTTTACAGAGACGTTCTCAGCAGCGTTTGGATGACTCCCAAATTTCAAAAATTTGAAACTTTTTTTTATTATTGATACGTTCTTTGACTTCAAAAAAGATTTAGTTGCCTCATACTTTTGCGTGTAACATACACATCTGACAGTCTCACTTCATTATCTACAGTTGCAGTACTTTGAGTTTTGTTTATCAATTTCAATACGATTTTCGACAAAAATCAAATTGAAACATTCGTTTGAAGGTGGATGACAAAGTTTCATGGTAAATTTTATCAGTTCGAATTTCCATTGTGTATTATGATATATTATTTGAAATCCTAGAAAGAACAAATAAAATTGAAAATTGAAATGAAAGGCTGAAAATGGACAAAAAAAAAACACAAACGTTTGTTTGAAGGTGGATGGCCTGAATGAAATTATAATCAAATGAAAAATCGAACAAAAATAAAAAAATAATAAAACGTTTAGATTGTTATCATTGGAATCATGGGTATATGGTAACGACGTCGCAAAGCAATACGCAATACGAAGCAATACGAAGAAAACGTTCGGTATTGTGGAAAAAACAATTCATTGCTTTTGCATTACGATAATGCGGCTGTTCACTCGTCATTGCCAGATCGTAATTTTTTTTCCAAAAACAACACCGAATTCACGCCTCAGCCACCGTATTCTCCAGATTAGACTTTTTCCAATTCCCAAGATTGAGGACACCCATGAAAACCGAATTTCTGAAAGAGCTCAAGGACATACCAAAAAGTGCATATTAGAACTTCTTCGAGGGTTGGGAAAAACGCTAGAACAAGTGTATTATATCTGAGGGTGAATACTTTGAAGGAGATAAAATAGAAATTGATAACTGAATGAATATTTTTAAGAAAAATTAAAATTCATCTTATTTTTGAACATACAGCCTAGCCTACAATGCGCGATTTCACGCCCTCCTAACCTCTGAAGCCAATCAATTTTTTTACTAGAAGGAGGCGACACGTTCGATATTTCATGGATATATATCTTTATTTAAAATCATTTTATCAAATGTTGAAACTGACGTCGCTCATAGAAATACAATTGATTTTCATTACCCAAAATTTATAATTGTCATTATTATAATATTTCTGAGTTTGAAAAAATCAAACGGCGTGAGACGAGGTGATCTAGGAGGCTACTTCATAATAACTATCCTATTAATTCGCCGTCAGAAAAAAAATCGTTCAATAACTGGCAAACGGGAGCAGCTTTGTGTAGATGCCCCATCTTGATGGAACAACAATTGATTTGCTGTGATGTCAATTTTTCTAGTATTTCAGTTATCATGGTGCTGATTTCGTAGTTTAAAAGTTGTGGATAATTTTGATCATTTAATCATCGTCGATAAAAAGGTTCAATAAGATCACACAAGATACCAGCCCACACAGTAATTTTCTTAAGGTTGTTGCCTACATGGTTCTCGAAATGAATGAGGATCAGTGTCACTTCAGCAGAGACAGTTCTGTCTATTCATTAAAGCATTCAAATGAATCAAGCAATAATGTAAATTACAGATGTACATAGAATTCACACAGTATGCGGCAATCGCGCCACTTCACTCCCCATTGCGAAATTTATACTATTTTTCCAGAATATTCCAGGTTATCTGGGTCGCTGGCTATAACTCAATCTCATACAAGAAAGTCATAAGATATTTTGATAATCATCGTCCCCAATTT